TGCCAGCTGATCTGCAATTTCTTTCCCAGTGATACTCTCCTGCTGAGATGCCGCAAGCTGGTTCAGATCCTGTTCTTGCCAGCAGATCTGTGGTTTCATTCCCTGCAATACTCTCCTACTGAGATGCCGCAAGCTGGTTCAGGTCCTATGAACGGCTGTTCAGATCCTGTTCTTGCCAGTTGATCTGCTGTTTCATTCCCTACAATACCCTCATGATCTTGCACCCATATCAGCTGAACTCTGTTGTCTGGCCAGTTGTGTGAGGGATTGGTGGCACTCCCAGACCAATTTTGAAGTGACTTGGGGTGTTCCAAGTGCTTTGATTGCGGCTTCAATATCTGGTAGAATATAGATATTCCTATTTTTGTAGTTTCTATCTAAATTCTCAACTGTGCATGCCTTAATGGCATACACTTCTGCCTGGAATACTGTCATATACTGACCAAGGCCAAAACTACGTTTCCGTCCTGTTCCATCACAATACACTCCAGCTCCAGTGCCTTTATTTGTCTTGGAACCATCTGTATACCAGATTAGTCCCCACTTTGTCGGGTTGAAACCCCTCTTTGCATTCACTTCTATCAGGAAATCTGATCATGAAGGGTTTATCATAGACATGTTTCAGTATCATTTTATCAGATCCAATCTGTATGATGGGTTCCTTTTTCATGTCCTGAATCATGTATGCATGTCCAAAACCTTCAGATTTAGGTCTCCATTGATCATTGCAATGTAATCTGTAATTTCCTAACTTGGCCTCTGCTTCCATCTGCAGATGCAGTGAGGGGAGTCCTAGTAGGATTTCCATTGCAGCTGTTGGAGCTGTTCTCATTGCTCCCGTAATTCCCAAGCAGGCCGTCCTTTGCAATTTGCTTAGTTCAGCCTGACTTGTTTTAAGTTTAACTCTAGGCCACCATATAGTGGCAGTATAGGTAATTACACGTCTTACTACAGCAGTGTATATCCAATACACCACCTTTGGTTTCAATTCCCAGGTTTTTTCAAACATGTCTCTGCATTTGATTTGTTTCATTCTGGTCTGTCACACTAACAATTACAAAGACAAAAACAACAACATCCAGTGTGACTATTTAAGTTTTATCACTTGCAAACTCATCATCCTTACAGTTTCAATCCCTACAGACCATCCTCAGAGGGTATCAATACTTTTTCTGGATTCTTAGTATTGTCCGTGTTTGTTCATGGCTTGCTAAGAATCTCCTTTCTCAAGATAGACAGGCGGCACAAGATCAGCCACCTCCAAGAAAGACAATAGGAGAATTGACACGAACCTGCATGGTTTATAAATGTTAATCCTAAACAACAAAGTTTTTAAAAAACTTTAAAAATTTTAATACCAGGAAGGCTGCTGTAACTGAAAAGTTGAACATTGTGTACATTGTGTATTTCAGATATTATATGTGTATGTCTATAATTTAACACCTATTGTAATAGTAGTTTCCGGAAAAAGTATTGATACCCTCTGAGGATGATCCGTAGGGATCGAAACATGTAAGGATGGTGAGTTTTCAAGTGATAAAACTTAAACAGTAACACTGGACGGTGTTGTTTTTGTCTCTGTATGCCTCTGCATGTCCAGAAGACCCCTGACACAGTATAAGGGATTTCCCATTGATAAGGATTGCTATGTCATCAGCATATCCTACTGTGAAATGACCTTTACTGTTGAGCTCCCAAAGATCATCCACGACCAGGCTCCACAGCAGAGGGGAGAAAACACCTCCCTGCGGACACCCTCTCGCCGCACATGCTCTCAGGGTCTCTCCAGACAATGTAGCACTTATATTCCTGCTTTGCAGCATAGCACAGCTCAGTCTGCATATTGCGGGCTCAATACCATGCCTTTCAGCAGCCTGTTTTAGTATGTCAAAAGAGGTTCTGTCAAAGCCTCCCTCTATGTCAAGGAATGCTCCAAGGGCAATATCCTTCTGTTTGATGGTATTTTCTATGCGTGTAGCCACATTATGCAGTGAGGTTTCAGTAGATTTACCTGTTTGGTAAACATTTTGGTTTCGGTGCAGAGAATGAATCTTCAATGCACCGTTCCTAATGCATCTATCTACTACTTTCTCCATCACTTTCAAAAGGAAAGATGACAGGTTGATAGGATGATAAGCCTTAGCCTCGGTATAATCAAGTTTCCCGGGCTTGGGTATAAATGTCACTTTTGACATGCCTCCAGGCCATAGGGATAAATCCATGCACAATGCAGGTTCTGAATATGCAGCATAGGTGTGGGACTAAATGTTCCACCCCTTGCAGCAGAAGTGCTGGTACAATTCCATCTGTTCCCGCACTCTTAAATGGATTGAAGATACCTAACACCCATCTAATTTTAGATTGACTGATTACCCGACTGGCCAGGTTCCAGTCTCCCCTCTGTTATGTGTCCACATATGCCCAGGTTCTGCTGGACCCGCCCATCACCTGAATCATCAATCAGCTTTGAATCAGGGAAGTGAACTCTGAACAGTTCTTTTAGTGTCCCTTTCCCAGTTTGAGTATACTTGCCATCAGACAGCTTGATAGTGCTGACCTTGTTGGTCACCTGTTTTGCCATGAGCCTCATGAGTCTGGCACCAACTAGTACATCACTGATCTCCTGGCAGTACCTCCTCCATGAGGATCATTTGGCTTTCCTTATTTCTTTATTATAACAGGTGAGGGGTTCCTTGTAGGTGTCCCACAGCCCTGTTTTTTTGCTATATTAAATAGCTTTCTTGTTTTAGCTCTTAGCCCACTCAGCTTGTTATTCCACCAAGGTGCACTTCTTGGTAAGCGAGTGGTCTTGGCTGGACAATTATGATAATAGGACAAGATAATGGCCTGTTGCAACTGCTCAACAACTCAATCTATGTCCCTTATCATGTGTATACTTGGTGAAATAATCTCCATATTTACCTTTAGGTCATCCTTGTACGATTCCAAATTGGTTCTCCTAGGATTCCTACAGGTAACTTGCTTTGTTATTATGTTAGCTATTTGAAAGCATATTTATCTATGGTCTGATAAAGATGGCTCACCAGATACATGCCAATTACTTATCAGGTTTTCTATTTTATCTTTCCCTAGTGTCAAGTCAATAACCTCCTTCCTATTGCAGACCACAAAGGTAGGTTCCTTACCATGGTTTAGAATATTCAGGTTCGAAATCACCAGAGATTCCATAAGGCTTTCTCCCCTTGGATTGGTGCTGGTGCTCCCCCCACAGAATGTGGTGTGAATTGGCATCACACCCAATGATGAGTTGCTTTTCCCTGCTATAGCAGTAGTTTATGATGTCCCTCATTTCCTTCGTTGGTGGTGGTTCAACTGCATCATATGGTGTAGAGGAGAATATTTGGACCAAAGAGGGATGAAGTGACAGGAGGTTGGAGAAAACTGCATAATGAGGAGCTTCATAACTTGTACTCTTCTCCAACTATAATTAGAATGATCATGTCAAGGAGGGTGAGGTGGGCAGGGCATGTAGCATGAATGGGGTGAAGAGGAATGCATATAGGATATTGATGGGAAAGCCAGAAGGAAAGAGACCACTGGGAAGACCTAGGCACAGGTGGGTGGAGAATATTAAAATGGATCTTAGAGAGGTAGAATGGGATGGTATGGATTGGATTGATGTGGCTCAGGATAGGGGCCAGTGGAGGGCTCTTGCGAACACGGTAATGAAATGAACCTTCGGGTCCCATAAAATGCTGGGAAATTCTTGAGTAGCTGCAGAATTAGCAGCTCCTACAGAAGGGCTGTTCCAGGAGTAATAATAATAAAAACTCAGAGAGGGGTGTATTATTCAGATGTCATTCTATTTAATACTCCGCCCTAAAATATCTCTGCTTTAAAAAAATGATAAAAACAAATTCAGGTTGTTCTACGAAATTATTTGCAAAGTAACTTTTTTTACTCTATTGACGAATTCGTTGAACATACAAAAAACTCAAATGTTAGGAGTGAATAAACAGTTCTGTGTGCTTATATTATACTTTGTTGAGACTTTGCTTGTTATAAGTGTGGTAGTATTTTTTATTGCTAATGGGGTGGGACTAAGTCCCTTGTACTGCAGCCACTACTGGCCTCTTGTACCAGCCCCAGATGATAGGTGAGGGTGATTGTGGAGCAATTGGTGGAATGAAGATTGGCAGGGGAAACCTAAGTACTCAGAGAAAACCTGCCCCAGCGCCACTTTGTCCACCACAAATCCCACTTGACCAGACCCGGATCAAACCCGGACCGCTGCGGTGGAAAGCCAGCGACTAACCGCTTGAGCTATGGAGCGGCCTAAGTGTGGTAGTATGTATAATAACAGCTCGACAAATCCCACAGTTTGAATTTTGAAATATGTTAAAATGAAACTATACTTATAATATAGTTGGCCAATTCATGCAGAATAACCAAAAGTGGCAATTACACAATATCGAATCATTATAGTTGGAAATATGAAACATTTTATTCAGGGTCGAATGTGACAATAGTGTTTCCTCGACTTATCTATGTCTTGACCACTTGTGCTGTCTGCATGAGGCCGATTTATATACTCTATTGGACCTAAGATGTATGTCTTATCATGAATTTGTAATATGTGACATATTTTATATCCAGCCCCACGGCGAAAGGATTGGCTCGATGAAATGAAAATAAATGTAAATCCCACAATAATAAACAGTCTAGATGGTGTCATTACATAACCTCCCCTCCCCTAAAAAGTCTCCTATACTCATCAACTTCTGTCAATTTTGCCAATACCACTGCCTAGTCTTCGTATCAAATTGAAATTTGAACTGAAACTGTAGTAGGACATATACGGTACACAATCTGTTTTGCAAACTACACTATCGGAAAGTGCACCTAACCCTATTTCGGTTCGGGTGACGGAAAACATCTGTATTCAGGTATCAAATTCCGCTACATAAAGAAATATGCTCAATTACAACAATATAATGCGCTTTTGGATATTATATGTACTAACACGCAAACATACGTACTTCGGGATACCATACTATCCACTAACGAGGCTAACGAGACACCTGCAAAACTTCGCTTAACCGCGCTCATCACTGTAGCACGCACGGATTACACTATGCTGCACGGACAAACAAACACATCAAGTCCATTATACGCTTTTCTTCAAAGAGAGGGTAGAGAATGAATTACTTACTTACTCAAGGAGCTGAGCCCTTCTTGAGGAGCAGCCAATTCTGCAGCTACTGAAGAATTCCCCAGCATTTTATGGAAACCGAAGGTTCATTACCGTGTTCACAAGACCCCTCCAGCAGTCCTTATTCTAAGCCAGATCAGTCCAATCCACAACATCCCATTCTGCCTCTCTAAGATCCATTTTTATGTTCTCCACCCACCTACACCTTGGTCTTCCTAGTGGTCTCTTTCCTTCCGGCTTTCCCACCAATATCCTATATGCATTTCTCATCTCCCCCATTCATGCTACATGCCCTGCACACCTCATCCTCCTTGACTTGATCATTCTAATTATACTTGGAGAAGAGTACAAGTTATGAACCTCCTCATTGTGTAGTTTTCTCCAACCTCCTGTCACTTTATCTCTCTTAGGTCCAAATATTCTCCTCAATGCCCTGTTCTCAAACACCCTCAGTCTATGTTCCTCCCTTAATGTCAGAGACCAAGTTTCACACCCATACAGAACCACAGGCAAAATTATACTTTTGCATATTCTCATTTTTATGTTTTTGGACAACAGACAAGAAGACAAAAGGTTCTGGACTGAATGGTAACAAGCATTACCCAAATTCAATTGCCTCTTAATTTCCTCCTGAAATCAGGTTTCAATCTGTTATCGTTGTTGCCAAATATCTGAACTGTGCCACATTTTTAAAACATCTGTTTCCTATCTTTATGCCATGATTTTGCCCTGCATTTTGGTGATGAGACAGCAACATATACTTAGATTTCTCTGTGTTTACTTCTACATGCACGTAAGTGCATTGATTAAAGTTTGTGTTTTTTTCTTTATGATATCTATATTATCACCCAGTAGATTCACATCATCGGCATAGACCAGCAGCTGATGTGTTCCATTTAATTGCAGTCCCACCTGGTTTCCTTGGACCTTCCTAATGGCATATTCTAAAGCAAAGTTGAAAAGGAGTGGTGATAAAGCATCTCTGTGTTTTAGACCATTCTGGATAGGAAATTAATCAAATATTTACCTACACGGACTTTACTATATGTTTCGTTTAAACATATTTTAATCAGCCTAACTAGTTTCATGGGTATCCCAAACTCTATTAGAATATTGTACAATACTTCCCTCCTAACTGAATCGTAGGCTTTCTTGAAGTCTACAAATAGCTGATGTACTGTCTAATTGTACTCACATTTTTTCTCCAATATCTGACGAATGCAAAAAATCTGATCTGTAGTTGATCTGTTATGTACAAATCCACACTGATGATCCCCAATAATTTCATCTATATAAGGACTTAACCTTGAAAGAAGAATACTGGATAATATTTTATATAAGTTGATAGCAGTGATATCCCCCGATAATTACTACAGTCAGTTTTATCACCTTTCTTGTGAACTGGTACAATAATAGACTCCTTCCACCGATCAGGCAATTTTTCCTTATGCCAAATAGAAGTAATTAGATTGTGGATCTTAGAACGTAGTATTTTGTCCCCTGCTTGAATAAGTTGTGCTGGAATTTTATCATTACGTGGCGATTTATAACGTTTCAATTTTGCAATAGCACTTTCAACCTCAAAAGGGCTAGGATCAGGTACTAACGGCTCAACTGTATTGATTTCTCCCTGCCTAACATCACTGACCCTACGTACATTCAATAAATGAGAGTAGTAGTTCCTCCACCTATTCAAAATGTTGTGGGAATCAGCAAGATCACCATTCTCATCCTTCAATTAGCTACTTCTAGGTTGGCAACCCCTCTTAAAGTCACTTATTCCTCTATATCGGTCTCTAATGTTCTTGTTCTTACTGTTTATTGCAAGCTCATCAATTTTGTCTTTCAGATATTCCCTATTTTTGATCCTGAAATGCTGGCTGGTTTCGCATCTTATATTGTTCAGATTATCCAAATTTATTTTGTTTGGATCCTGTAACCATTGCAATTTGGCTTGTTTTCTTTGGTCTAATAATTTTGAGCATCCTTCATCAAACCACGGCTTATGCTTCTTCAGTTCATAATAACCTAGACTAGATAACTAAAGTCCAAAAACCCAACATATCAGTAACCTAGACTCTCCTTGGCAGAAATTTTTATATTCTCTCTAATGGTTTCCAAAACTTTATTAACATCCACCTCAGCGTCCAAGTTTTCCAAAGCCGCAAACCTATTTGAGATTTTAACACGATACTGCTCTTTACCCTCTACCTCATTTAATTTCCTGAGATTGAACCTCTCCATATGAACTGTGTGCATTGTTTGTTTGCTCACTGCCAGTCTTTCCTTAACCTTTGCCACCACCAGGTAGTGGTCAGTATCACAATCTGCTGCCCTGAATGATCGGACATCAGGTATACTTGAATGCCATCTCCTATCTATCAAAATATGGTCGATTTGATTGTGTACCTTCCCATCACGAGATGTCCAAGAAAATTTATGAATGTTAACATGTGGGAACATTGTACTTTAGACAGATGTGGCAAAGTTTACTACTCTAATTCCATTATCATTACTAATTTCATGCAAACTCTCATTCCAAATCGTTGGTTTGAAAATGTCTTCCCTCTCTACTTTCGAATTACATAAGAAAATTATATCAGCACACACGTAGTTGAAGTCTATTAGGATAAGGGCACACCAAGGAAATTGGAAATCGCAACGCAACCACAATTTTTTAGAATTGTTATCAGCCTGAGTTGAACACATTACTGTACTGAGGAAACTGCAACATAGTTTCCTCAATTTGCGCTGCTCCATTAAGTAACAAATGTTCAACTCAGGCTGATATCAATTCTTGGAAATTGCGGTTGCCAGTTTCCTTGGTGTTCCCTAGCCCTTAGTGATATATGTCATATGTAATAATGTAATACTATGAGGTAGCTGGTGTCGTATCACTATTCCAAAGGTTCATGCCCCAAGAGAGGATACAACTAATGATATAAATGTAGTTTCCATGAGGAACCAGAAGGTGCATTCGATAAAATGTAAAGGTGTCCCTCTGACCCTAATTAATTAAGCAACACGCCATGATGACGTGGAAGGGCGGACAAATAGCTCCACCATCTTTTATCTCAGCAGCCAGAGAAGGTATTTTCCAGCCACCACTTTGGAAAGACTGTTCACAGGAAATTAGTAATGATAATGGACTTAATAGCAAACTTTGTGACATCCATAAATCTAATTGTCAGGAGTATAATGATCCCACATTGTAACATTCATAAGTTTGCTTGGAGATCTCCTGATGGATAGACGCACAATCAGATCGACAATATTTTAAATGACAGACAGCATTTAAGCGGACTACGATACTTATCATTATCTGATGGTGGCAAAAGTTAGGGAGAGACTGGCATTAAGTAAACGAACGTAAAAATTTGATATTCAAATTCAAATTTGTTTTGCATTCTACAAATCCATGATAGAAAAGCCTCTTGGATACAGAATAAGTTATACGTCTTAAATTAATCGTGGAATTAATTATCAGTTCCAAGTCTTGGTTTATAGATAACGGAAGATAAAGAATACAAAAACTGACATTAATGACCGACGTATAAATCGATTAATTGCACTGAAAACTTAAAACTACTGACAGTGGAATGTGTATCCATTTGTAAAATGTCCTTATACTCAGTACAACAATTAAGAAGTTGGTAAGAAATACTCAATAAACACATACAAATTAATGAAAACACAAACGATTTATAAATTTACGAGTTCATCAAGAATAATTATTATTTTAATACGATTAAAAGTTGTTAAAAAAACTGAGTATAGAGAATATAAGAACACAATGAGTATGGAAAATATGTTTGAAATTATCTTTAATTACAGAATTAATTACTAAGGCTAAAGTGAGGTCTCAGAGCTATTAAGATGTGTGAGCGCTGGAACATAGAAATCAATTAATGTAAGACTCAGGCCATGTACTTTTCTCATAGACTTAGGCCTCTGAGGCTCATCTTACACTGAATGGATGGAATATGTCTTTTGTCAATCATGTAGAATATCTCAGTGTAATCTTCTGTAAGGGGATTACATGCTTTGCACTTAGAAATTATTGTAGCCAAGGCCTTCAGAACACTTATCAGAATTTATTCCCCACTGAAAGGGGAACGTTTAAGCACCAACATCAAACTAACTCTCCATAAGGCACTGATCAGATTAGTAATAACGTACACTTGTTCCGCCTGGGAATTAGTGGTAGACACCTACCTCTTAAAATTGCAGCGCCTGCAAAACGAGGTTCTGGGAACCAGTGGAGATTTTTCAAGGTGCACACCAGTCCGTGATTTGCACCAAGCTTTTAACCTTCCATATTTATATGATTATATAATAATATTGTGCAGGAAAGAAGCAGAAGTCATACAGAATTATGAGAATGAACATGTTCAGTGCATAGGACAAGGTGTAGCCGGACACAGAAAATATAAGTGGCTTAATCTTGGCAGTGTTCAAGCTTACGACTATTCAAGAGACTAGGCTGCGGTTGTAGCGTAAGACATGTAAGATAGGCATGATATGCTCTGCAAAGCCTATACTGACAGAGGGCTTGAGTGTAGTGTAGAAGCAAGAAATTTTCAGCAACATGCTATATAGGTGAAATGTACACTTGACGAAAGGCTAAGCATGTTCATAGGAGACAAACCCGTCTTCTTCTCAGAGAGGATGTTTCATAAGGACTATGACCTCAAGGGGTTCAGTTGAAAAAGAAATCTGGTGGTGAGTCTCAAGGGGCTTCATGCCAAGAACTGATTGGCAGTAAACCGACAGTCATAAAGTAACTCTGAGTCTGACTTGATAGTCAATGTGAAGAGTAGGAAGTTTGTGTGAGACAGCCGCCAGCCTGGGAGTTGTGGGATTATTGCCGGCCAGTAAGGGCATGAAAGCTGAGGAAGC